ATAAACCTTCTCCGCGGCGATATGAATCCGTAGGTATCAATGTTTCCACAATCGGACCTCGATACCATGGAGTCTATCGATGTCAAACTTCAAGAAACTTTATTTTCGTTGTTTTGGTCTAATACTTGGACATCCTCCACTCTATTTATTTGATTTTGAACATGTACAGTTTTAAAATGTTGTAACACGTCGTTTCTAAACATTTTGACTTAAAATTTTCATACAAATAATGTTGGCCGCCAAAATCGGTCAAATACCCCTATGTGCGGTGGATGTGCTCCTTTGGCACGCCCTCCTAGCCTCCCTAGGAGAATCAGCGCATCGTAGAAGGAGTCCCAATTGTGTACCCTGCGGACTCCGCATTAGAGCAAAAACAACATTTACGTGTATTGTGTTGTTCCTTCTGGCGTCCACAGTGTCAAGAAAGTAGTATGTGAAATACGTATAAACAAAAATTTAAATAAAAACAAGTAAGAAAGTCTAAGTTCGGGCGGAGCCGAACATTAAACACCCGGCGCACGTATTAAATATATGTTTTTCACCTTACCGCTACATGGTAATCCGGGGCGTATCAATTTTGAGTAAATTAGAGTCCTTAGATTTCGAAATTTTGAAGTTTCAAGCAGTTCTGAAATGTACCGATATATGAAAAGCGGCCTCAATTTTAGTCCGATTTGCTTTTATGTGGCAAGGACAATAAAAATACCGAGTTTGGCACAAATTGGTATAACGGTTACCGATATACATATATGTGATCATAAGTGGGCGGTGCCACGCCCATTTTCCCAAATTTTACCATAAACGTATTTCTTGGTAAAGAATTGTTGCAAGCATCAATTTTGAATAAATTAGCTTTAATATTTACTGTTTTATAGAAGATTTTGTATTTCTCTAAATTACCGTTATATGGGATGTGGGCGTGGTTATTGTCCGATTTTAAAACTTTTCGGCCATTTGGTATGTTGTGCCAACAACTGTGCCAAGTTTGGAAGAAATTGGTGTAGCGGTTACCAAGATATACATATGTAACCATAAGTGGGCGTGGCTAAGCCCGTTTTCCGAAAATTTATAATATTCTTATTTTTCGTCTAAAACTTATTGTAAATATCAATTTTGAGTGGATAATCTCCAGTAGTTACTAAAATATCGCAGTTTTCGTATTTCTGCAAATTACCGTTATAAGGGAAGTGGGCGTGGTTACAGTCCGATTACGCCCATTTTCAATACCAACCTACCTTGGATAAATGGAAATCTACATACCAAATTTCGTTCAGATATCTCAATTTTTGCTCGAGTTATCGTGTACACGGACGGACGGACAGACGGACAGACAGACAGACATGGCTTAATCGACTTCTCTATTCATTCTGAGCATTTATGTATACATTTGTCTATATCTATCTCGATTCGTTTTGTTACAAACAACCATTATGTGAACAAAATTAATATACACTTGTGCACAAGTGCGCAATTACTCAGCGTGTCACCAATTAACTTTTCCGTTTGTTTTGATTCTTTAAACGTTAAACTTTGGTTTGATTCAAAATTATTATAAAAATAAATGTATTTACCCGTTGAAAATTTTGATTGTTTTTATAAAATTTTCTGTCTTTATTTGAAAGTTTATTTTTCGATTGCCAGATGAATTACATTTATACAAAAAATTATCTTTGTGTGGTATATTTGTAGATTTTGTGAAAAAATGAGATGGCAGCATGATTCTCCCACGGCTCTCTTTACACGTAGAAATTTGACTTGGAAATCAAAAATCTATAGTTCTCCCAAGTTTCTAAGCGAAGTTGGTTTTTAGGGTAACTACATACACGCGCTGCTCATATGCCAGATATACAATTTTTAGGTCAAGTCTAAAGCCTTAAACAGACGGCAGCGTTGATCCGGATTAACTCGGACTTAATCCGGATCAACTGTAGTTAATTCCCGAGTTGATCCGGATCAACGCTGCCGTCTGTTTATGCCTTAACGCTAGGCGCACATTGCATCCGATAGGCCGACCGATTTCGGCCGAACAATTTGATCGTCGGAACTGATTTACACACTTAACCAGATTATTATTCGACCGTATTTGTACCCACAAATCTAGTTTTCATTTAAATTTTATAAGCAGTGAAATATTTTGATAAATTTTAATTGACATACTCTAAACATGTGATGTGATAGGTAATTTTTTTGTTTTGCACCCAATAAGTTAATTTTTCGCAGTCCATTTTCACCTGACATCGGACGAGAAAAACAAACATGTTTGAATTTATCGTCACTGACGGACGTCAACGGCCGATGCCGATTCGGTTATCGGTTTATGTGTGAGAGCACTCATATACAGTGAAACCCGCTTAAGTTAAGCTTAGGTTTACATGGTATTTGTTAGGGAATGGACTGTATTATAGTTGAAAAATCTTAAATAAATACGTATACTTCATTAAATGTTTATGTTTTATTCAAGGATTTACATATTTATGTAAGTTAACAAAAAGATGTAACTACGTCAATAATTATGTTCGCTTAAGTACCCGCATCGGGGTACTTAAGCGGGTTCTTTTAAGTACCCACCCCGCCTAAGTACCTCAAAAAGCTGACATTTTTCGTGAGGTACATAAGCGGGTTTTACTGTAATCACAAAGGTTTATTCATATCGCCCGCATATAGCCGATATCGGCCGAGCACAATTCGGCCAATGCCGACTGCAGTGTGCGCGTAGCGTAAGTCTTGCATACCTGAGCTTTTCTTTCTTTGTAAATTTGTTGCATACCAGAAGCATCAATACATCCTTTGCAGGGCCCAATAATCAGCGTTTATGCTCTTGCGTTAAGTAAGCGTTCAAAGTCTGGTTTCCAATCGGTTTTTTAAGGTTCCCATGCATTTTGCCAATTAATAATTTTTGTAAAAAAATTTACATTATTTGGCTGTTTAGATGGGGCTGCCAACCGTACTATAATATATAGTATTGTACTATTTTTCCGATCGGCGTATAGTGTTGGAAAAAATATAGTACACGAAAATACTATATTTCTTCAGCTATAATTCTTACTAATCTTACTAACATTATAAATGTGAAAGTTTGTATCTTTGGATGTTTGGGAAATCATCACGCGGAAACTACTAAAGGGATTTGCATGAAGTTTTGTACGCAGATAGCTTATGGACCCGATTGGTTAATAGGCTATTTTTTTTAAGAGTTGCCACCTGTTAAAAATGTTAATTTATATAATATGCGGGAATGACAGAACGGATTTGCATGAAAATTTGCACACGAATAGCTTATGACCTAATTTGGAAAATAGGCTACTTTTCTTAAGAGTTGCCACCAAAAAGTTTAATTAAATTAATACGCTGAAACGACTGAACGGATGTGCATGAAATTTAGCACACGGATAGCTTATGACCAGAGGTGGGCACTACCACAAACAAGCGTGAGCTAAAAGTTAGCATGGGTTAGTGTACCTAATTCATTTTGCATGCTGTCGTGTTCTCATCGATGCGCTCTCGCTTGTATACGTACACGCAACGCTTACGCTCTTTTAGCACCTGCTAACTCACTGCCCATGCCTGCTTATGACCGAGGTTTGAAAATAGGCTCCTTTTTTATTATTACCTTATTACCTTACTTTTATTAGCTCGGGATGTAACTATGTAATATTGATGCGCCTAAAAGATGCAGCGATTTCTATTCTCAAGTTACATACCTGATGACAGTACGAATGGCAATTATAATAGGGAGGTTTTAGTTTTTTGAACTATGATTTTATTTAAGAGTTGCCGGCTGTTGGAAATGTTTAATTAAATTAATACGCGGAAATGAATGAACGGAATTGCTAGAAAATTTGCACGCGGATAGCCTGTGACATAGATTTGAAAAAGGCTAATTTTTTAAGAGTTGCCACCTGCTAAAAAAGTTTAATTATATTAATACGCGGAAACTACTGCACTGATTTGCATGAAAGTTTGCACACAGATAGCTCTAGGTTATAAGCTGGACAATAGGCTATCTTTTTGAGAGTTGCCATCTGCTAAACAAATTTAATTAATTTAATACGCGGAAACGTCTGAACGGATTTGAATGAAATCTTGCACGCAGATAGGTTATGACCTAGATTGGAAAATAGGTTACTATTTCAAGAGTTGCCACGTGTTTGAAAATGAAATTTTGCACACAGATGGGTTATGACCTGGATTGAAAGCCCCTCCAATACGAATTGGAATTTTCGTAATATATACATATATCTGGAATTATTTGTGGTAGAGAACTGGAACTATGTATGGAGATATGTATGCGAAATCAAATTCATACTCACAGAGAAAAATGGACGTTATTCGAAAAGAAGCGTAACACCTTCCATACTGACTGAAAGTTTCATATTACATATCTAATCATATATTTGGGGTAAAGTAGTTAAGCTTGGTATCGAAATACATATGTACAAGTGTATGTGAAACTAATCCCATACTCATGGTTAAAAATTAGAGTTATTGGACAAGGTGGTGTGGCAACTCCCATGCAAATTTATTTTTCTATGCTGCATATCTCTGGAGGTGTTTATTGCAAAAGACTGGAGCTTGGTACCGAAATGTGTATACAAAACTAATTCCATACTTATGAAGAAAAATTTGAGTTATTCGAAAAGGGGGCGTCGTGGTACATCCCGTACAAATTTACTGTGTTATACTGCATATCTCTAAAAGTGTTCATAGTAAAGTACTGGGACTTGGTACTGGGGTATATAAAATCAATTCCAAACTCATGGAAGGACATTTGGGTTATAAGAAAAAGGGGCGTGGTACCTCCCGTACAAATAAACGTTTTCTTGCCACATATCCATTGTTTGTAGAAGAATACTGGAACTTGGTATGGAGTTGAGTATAAAAAATGTATCAATTGCTCATGGAAAAAATGTGATTTATTAAAAAAGGATGCATGTCGCCTCCCATACATACTCAAACTTTCTTAATACATATCTCTGGAAGGATAGAAAATCTCTGGAAGTATTTGAAATTTGTTATGGAGATTTATTTTATAAGTGCCGTACTGACAGAAAAAATTTCATTTAATGGAAAATCAGAGCCGGATTCGGCCATATAATCTAAGGCTCTCATGATGCATACATACCTCTTGAGGCATTTAGGTACAGTACTGAGAAATGGTATTTGTGGTATATTTGGACTTTGTCACGGTTACTCAAAAGTCACTGTTAACTGCTGTGACAACTTCCAAAAAGTCACCGTGACATACTGTGACAAAAGAACAGTCGCAGTGATGTTTTTATAGTAGGATTGCGCGATTGATGAATTGTATGAGAACGCACAAAGCATGCCACATAGATCGTTGCAACTGCAGCGCGAAGCGAAAAGTTGGCCAACTCCCATTTTTTGCGCGCGTTGACAATCAGCCGGCTTAATATTTATTTTGTTTCGTCTAAATTCGAGTTTTCATGCAGAAACATGAAATTTAATTGCATTACTGATATTTTCAAAGCTAAATATATAAAATCCACAGCAATTTTGACGAGCAAAACAGCAGTAAAAAATTGTTTTCTTGGCGTTCATTGTGGTATAACTTTTGCGTCTGGCACTTTGCTGGCAAAATTATAAATGTCAGGCAAAGCCACAAAGTTTTATCTGCCATCAGCTTAACAGTTACAGCCACTACTACGAACTGTGACTGTGATAAAGTAGCATTGACAATTACATATCGAGAAACTGCGACCAGTTATTTAAGACTAAATTCTGATTAATGTTGTTTTATGTATATTAGAATTTCACATCATTAAAAACGAGTGTGTATGACAAAAACAAGCGATGAAAATAGTCAGTGATGTCAAATAAATAAATTATGCTCTTAGTTCACTCGGTAAAAGGTTCCTGTTTCCAACTTTTTTGTAACTGTCTTTGTCACAGTCACGGATGAAAATCACTGTGACTGCAAAGTCACCCCCGCCCTTCTTACATATAGGAATCTACAGGATATCTTTCAGCCTCCTCGAGCATGTGTCTAAAATCGATGCCACCCGTCATTCCAGCAATGCGTACATCACCATTCATAGCCTGGTGATTATTATTCAAGTTAATGGTGCCACTGTTATTTCGTTGTTTTAAGTGTCCATTCATTAGTGATACATGTTTGCTGATCGTTGGCACTGCACCTGGAACATTATTTTCCAAATCTTGTAAAATTGCATTGGTTTGATTTTGGTTCACATGATTGGTCATCATGCCAGCATCGATCATATTGCCTGCCAGTCGTATTCCATTCTGCTGGATGTTTTGTATATGATGGCGTATAATTTTTTCGAATTCGCGCTGCACTGAAGGGCTGTCCGTATCGCCATCGACCTAGTGAAGCCGTCGAGAAAAGAGGTTCGATAAAAAAAGATAAGATTTTATTCAGTTACTCTTAACTCACAATTTGCAGACGACTATCATTGTCCATAGCTTTCAGCATAGGCAAAGTCTGTTCACGAAACAGTTCTAATCGGCGTCGAAACGAAGAGACGGTATCGTCGACGCGCCCACGTCCCAATTGCAGTTTCGAACAATCCAGAAGCACGATGGGCGGTCTTTGTTTGTACTAAGTGAAGTAAAAAAAGAAAAATATTAATAAATAAATAATATAAAAAAAAACTTTTTAATATTCTACGCTGTTATAAATGGAAAATAATATGCGCCTTCTGAACGGCTTGATACATTAGCTGTCAAATTCAAAACACACAACATGTTGTCTCAAATGATCATAAAAATATTACGATCATCTAACACGCAACTGTTCAGTTGATCAGAAGTGCAAAACGACGCGTTCAGAAGGTGCAATCGCAACAGTTACTGAGCTGTTGCGCCTTCTGAACATGCCCATTATAAACAATTTATGAGATGAAAAACGTGGAGCGCATGCAATACAAAGCATTAGATTTAATTGACAATAGTCAAACTACATAACAGGGACCTAAAATTTCCACAGAGAAAGTACAAATTTAAGATCGATTTTAAGCGGTCATTATTCATATATCCACATACATTCATATATCCACATACATAAGTACATACATTCATATATGTAATGCTCCTATATTGGCAGTAAGAGCTAGTACCGTCCGAAAACACTACAGTACAGACACATACATATATCAATAAACACGTACGAAAGAAAAGGAACACATACGTTTATAAATAAACATGTACACAACACATATATATACAAAAACGGCACTCACCCTGCAAAAAGTGGGACTAGGTTAAATACTAGTACAGGACCCCGCTACCTTGTAACCAACACTAGTAACCAAATTGGTCCAAATATATGGAGAAAATATGGTTACATTAACATTGCGATGTCATTGGACGTGACCACCGCTGAACGCTGCATAACACGGGACCACTTCTGGTCCACCACTGCATATCATGGGACCACCTAAGCAACTACTCCTCTTGGCCAATGGCACATTCGGCAACCGAATCATGTTGCCGATGGGGCACGAAGAGGTGGTTCTCAACACATATATCAGTTTTTTACGTTTGAAGTGGTCCAGGTCAGCATAACAAGTTACTAGTATGCAACCTGGTCCTTTTGCACATACTTTAAAACCACGACCTAGTGGACCACCTGGTCCTCAAATTTTTGCAGGGCAAGTACACAATACATTGACAAAAACGGTACTAGATGTCTCGCTTTGATTTCGGAATGCTTACACATTGAGAACTTAGCTTACTGTATTACATATATGCATATATTACCCTTCATATCAATTCTGGTCTATTACATGCGCCCCACGCTTTTCCTTTTCAATCTGATAAATTGTTTATAATGACTTTTGCTAAAATTTCAAAATCAAAAGTTATCAAAACAAATTCTAAAATTTTGCAATAGATATTAAATATATTGGTGCACGCACATGCATATATGTACATATGTGCACATACATACGAGCGTACATACATAAAAGCGTTGTACAAAATTTGAGATCGATTTTAACCGATCGTTATTCATATACCCACATACATACAGTATCGGTCATATCTATAGCACGCCATTTCCAAGTGATATTGTGTGCCCCTTATGTTTATTTATTTATTTTTAAGAATTTTCAATTAAAATTTAGTTCATTCTCAGACCAACCCCATATATACCCAAGTTCAACAATTTGTAGAAAACTACAAAAAAGTGTAACAAATTTTCACCTAAATTTGAAACTTTTTTCCCGGAAGTCTTAGAATTTTTTTGAGTACACAGTTTTTTAGCCCCTGAAATTTTACTCTGATAATGAGCAAATTTCAAGTGGCTACGAACTACCGTTAATTTTTTAGAATTCTTTTTGTGGCATTGGCTTCCATATAATGAATAAACTCAATTTATTTGTTATGGAAGAAAGCCGCAACACCTTTGGCGAAAAACATTCTAAAAAATCAACGGTAACTTTTAGCCACTTGAAACTTGCACATTAGTAGACTAAAATTGATTGGGCTATAAAACTGTGTATTCAGAAAAATTCAAACACTTCCGAGAAAAAAGTTTGAAATTTAGGTGAAAATTTGTTGCACTTTTTTGTAGTTTTCTACAAATTTTTAAACTTGGGTTTATATGGGTTTTGTTAGAGAATGAACTGTATTTTAATTGAAATTTCTTAAAAATAAACATAAGTGGCACACAATATCACTTTGAAATGGCGTGCTATAGATATGACCGATTCTGTATGTATACACATTAGGGTGGTCCAAAATGTATGGGAGAAAACTAAAATCGGAAATTTAATACTCTCACCCCCTAGGATTGTTCTATACCGAAAAAAATATACTCCTGTTCTTTTATTTTAAAATCAAAATATATTTAGAGGTCGCGCAAAGCGCTCAAAGTTTCCCATGTATTTTGTATGGGGAAAAAAGACTTTTCGTAGAAATGGCATAGAATCCATGAAAATCAAAATTTTTCAATCTGAAAACTCTGCTTGTGCAATTGCAATCTGCTCTGCAATTGTTTATTTAAACGTTTTTTAATTTAAACTATTTTTTTTTTTCTTTTTTATATTTCTGTTTGTATATTTGATTTTTTTGGGATATTTCGGAGACCCTTAAAAAATAGTTAAAATTTAAAAATGTTTAAATAAACAATTGAGCATTATTCTCTGAAGTCTTCTGAAGAGAAGCAGAGTTTTCAGATTGAAAAGTTTTGATTTCCGTGGGTTCTATGCCATTTCTACGAAAAGTCTTTTTTTCCCCATACAAAATACATGGGAAACTTTGAGCGCTTTGAGCGACCTCTAAATATATTTTGATTTTAAAATAAAAAAACAGGGGTATATTTTTTTCGGTATAGAACAATCCTAGGGGGTGAGAGCATTAAATTTCCGACTTTACTTTTTTTTGGACCACCCTAATGTACATACATATATTACTTTTCATATCAATTCAAGTCTATTACATGCGCCCATATATGAAATACTTCTATATATATTGGCAGTAAGCTAACTTCCCAATGTGTAAGCATTCCGAAATCAAAGCGAGACAGTCTAGTACGGTTTTTGTGTATGTATTAGGGATGTTTAATGCAAATTTTCGGAATGTGAATGTGCGAAGGCGAATGTTAAGTCATCGTTTAAAAATTTTGTAAATTATTAGAACATTGAACGAGTGCTTAATAGCGTGGGCCGAAAATCCGCTTTTTTAGAATTTCGATTGGTAATAGCAAAAATATGGTTCATTATGCTTTAAAAAAATCTGTGTAAAATTTGGAATTTTTCGGTCAATATCCTAGGCTCGCCCAAGCCCATCAAAGTTCAATACGCTCAAAAAATAATAAATTAATTAATTAATACATTTTTTTACTTAAATTGCAATAATCTTTGAAAGTATTAGTCCTTCATAATTTGGTATAAGGACCTTTTTTGTAGAGAATCGTACTTAGCTAAGAAAACAAATTTTTTGGTACTTGAACTTTGATGGACGAGCATAGGATATTGACCAAAAATTTTTACATTTCACACAGATTTTTTTTAGAGCATAGTGAACCATATTTTTGCTATTACCAATCAAAATTCTAAAAAAGTGGATTTTCGGCCCACGCTAGTGCTTAACTTATACAGTGTCTTAATCTTGTAGTCAATGTTCAAAATGGGCATATTATATTTCAAAAAAAGTACTTTTGCTGCCTTTTATCCCATGAGGCGATTTCTTAGAGGCTCGAATATAAAGCCGGCTGCACTAAAAAATCGCTCACTTGGAACGGCGGGTGGAGCGCTCAAATATTTGCGGCCCAGATCTGTCAATTTGTCGTATTTTTGTTTAGTTTTCCACCAATCGAGAGGATTTTCACCGAGATGAGCCCGGTTTTCTTTAAGATAGACCTTCAATTGAGCTTTTATTTCACATTTTTTAATGTATCCAGATTTTACATTCGAGCATTTGCTTTCGCTGGAGGAATCTAAAATTATTTCTAGGTTGCTTATACGACTTTTAGCAGTACTTGTTAAAGGCCCATCAATGTTGCTTGATATACTACTTAACAGTGTTGCCATTTTAGCCGTTTTCCGGCTAGATTTAGCCGGTTGCGATTGCAAACAGCCATAATTTTGAGTGTGAAGTTTTATTCGCAAACTTAGAAAATAAGAAATTGTTTCACTGTTAAGCCTCTTAAGATTTGATATAGTGCCAACAGAATAAATAGTAATATTTAGATGTAGATATTGTCCTCCCAGATAGCGCATATTCAATTCTGCCTAAATTACAAACCATCATTTTTGTCCACTCCCAAAGGTTTAAGGTAAGGGAAAAATTGATATTTTCAAGCACTATATACACATATGTATTTTTTTAAACAAACTTTTTTGCTGAGAACTTATTTAAATTCCAAAGACCGAATGCTAACTTGAATTAAGGGAACCAACACTGAAGTGAGTCAAAATGAAAATAAAAGAGCACAAATTTCTATGTAAAGCAAAACTCTCTGGGAATGCTACGAGACGTCTGCCGGTCATATGACCAGTCATCTAAATGGGAGATCTGCCGTCTTTTGGCATCATATTTTACATCAGAATTGAAGGGATTTCTGAAAAATCTGACCAGTTCTTTTATGTAACTGTGATTTTGCATCCCATGTCAACATATCGTCACTAGACACGAATAAAGGCGCGAGCTCAAAAGTTGACGGCGAAAAAAGACGCATAAAAAAACTATTTCTATTTGAGTGTATTGTGAATCGGTCAGTCTGAAAAGGCCTTGTAGGGAAGACAATAGGTTTGTTCGTCGAAAATCCAGCGAGAATTATCACTCAAAATATCAGATAGTAAGAAAAAATGCTCCCAAATTCTCTCTCATGTAGAGCAACTTGCAATTTTCTGTACGAACGCAAATTTGCAAGTATTTCTGCCAGCTAGTGTCCACGGTTGCATTTCAAACAAAAGAAATTTGTATATAGCTAAAAATGATGTCTGGACACGCAACATTGAAAGTTGATAAAAGCGTTGTAATGTTGTAATAAAATGCACGATGTAGAGAGCAAAGTCGGCGCATGCCGCAAACCGCTTTTTTCGTTTGCCGATTTTGACAATTCTTAAATAAAGGTAAACAACGCCACAGAAGCTT